AAAACCTCACTGCCAACAGAACCACACTGTTAACAGAACCACACTGCCAACAGAACCACACTGTTAACAGAACCACACTGCTAACAAAACCACTCTGTTAACAAAACCTCACTGCTAAAAGAACCACACTGCTAATAGAACCACATTTCTAACAAAACCACATTGCTAACAAAACCACACTGCTAACAGAACCACACTGCTAACAGAACCTCACTGCTAACAGAACCTCACTGCTAACAAAACCACACTGCTAACAAAACCACACTGCTATCAGAACCACTCTGCTATCAGAACCACTCTGCTAACAGAACCACTCTGCTAACAGAACCTAACAGAACCACTCTGCTAACAGAACCACACTGCTAATAGAAAACACTGCTAACAAAACAACTCTGCTTACAAAACCACTCTGTTAACAAAACCTCACTGCTAACAGAACCTCACTGCTAACAGTACCATAATGCTAACAGTACCATGGTGCTAATGGGACCATGTTGTTAAACGAACCTCACTGCCAACAGAACCAGGTCTCTCTTGTAAATGAGACCCAGAGGCTCAACGGGACTAACCTGTCTAATTAAAGGTTGGATGAATGAAAAAAACACGCTGTTGTAGATTTATTTCTTTTTCACTTTTGGTGCCTTGTTTCAGTATTTTTGTTGCATGCTTTGGTATTTCTTGCTGTTGTTTTATTGGTGAATTGAGACTGTTCTTCTCGTCCTGAGCATTTCATTACATTGTTGACCTTGTGTTGATCTGCGTATGACAATAAACCTAAATCTAGACTGAAGGGGTTTTTCCCAAATTTACTACGCGCATATAGGTTGTGGTGAGTGTAACGGGGTAGTTGTTCATTAAGGGAATCTAACACAAAGATCTCACACCTGTCTTGTCGACTTTTTTTAGCTGACATGTCATCTCCAGCAGACGGTCTCCTCTTTTTCCTAGGTGGCATGGCTTTTGAGTAGCAAGCTGAGAACATAAGAAAGACTATGGAAAATAACCATCAGCAATACAAAAATTTTGCAGTTAGCAAATTCAGGAACAGATGGTCTGAGCATGTAATAATGAAACTTGTAATCATGTGTTGATGATATAAAACACACAAACACACACAAAGGATCGTTACCCGACGAGTGGCTATCCTGGTCAACGTCTTCGGTCAGATTCTACCAAGAATGACATGACAGAAGTACTCAATGCAATGTTAACATACATTAATGAAACACACTGATGTGAGATATTTACCAGTCTGTGCAAGGTGTGGTGAATCTTGTGGATGCTGGCCAGTGTAGTCAAATGGGAATTGAGCTGAAAATCTAATTCCATATAAAAGCAAAAGTGTCATAAAAATGCAAACTGACTAAAGCATCATATACATCTTAATGTTTCTTATCATGCAATAAAATGAGCTAACATCAACAGAGCATCCATTACAGTGCAGATATTTAAACCTCACATCATTTTTGGTCAGTAATCAACACTTATTGCATATTCTCATAACAAAAGTTTACATCTCGAAAAATGGCAGAAAATGTCTCTGACTGATGAAGGAGCGACTCAGACCCTGCACTGCTAGGAAAGGACGTTTAAACTCGAATATTTTCGATCAGAAGGGCTAAGCTCCTTTCCAAAACCCGTGTTTCAGTTCCAGTTTATTGCCGTCATCAAGAACTGATTTAATTTTAGAGGCCAAATTCAGACTAACTGCACAACACAGAAGAGAGCGGACAGCACTAGCTGCATACCTAAAATAGCTGCACAGACGAGCAACTTGCACAGAGTTTACAAAGTATTCAGGGAGTTGGACGTCTGGGTGTTGTAGTTCTTCCACTTTAAGGAAGCCATTAGTGAGCTCGGCTATACTTGGAATACTGAACTACAATACCCATGAGTTTAGGAGGGAAAAAAAACTATTTCTTTCAGACTCATCTCCCCCAACATTTACCCATTCGGACAGAATGTGTTTAATACTGATTAATATTTATATTATTTTATGAGCACTGATAGGAAAAAAATCCCGCATGGACGCTTTGCTATAGCTAACAGATGACGCAAAATCTGACAGCTCTGTTGCAGCAAGCAAAGAAATATGTTTTACACAACTGCGTCACAATTTTCATTCTCTCCAACTGTTCGCAGTTAGCTAAAAAATGTGGCCGATTAACACTGATTTACATCGATGTCACGGCCAGTTTGAGCTTAAACGAGTTGTACGCTGAGTAATACCGAATAAAAAACACCTCTAATGAAACCAATTACTAGCGAAGACCTAAAACAACGTCGGCGACATTTAACCTAAATTTGCGAGCTCAAGATGAAAACCACTACAGATGTTTTTGCTGCGCCTGAGTCTAAATAACTCTCATTACAGTAGCCATTATTTCTTTGTTGTCGCCCCAGACAGCACCACCAAATACAAAGACACTAGCATGAAGTATGTGATCCATGCGTTCCCGTTAAACCCGACAGACCCACACGACAAAAGCTGATGTGTAAACACAACATGTCCGTCTGTTTCTCTCTGATATACGCTTCAACTATTAACAAAGGTCGCAGATATACGCAGAATAGTCTCTAAACAATTCCACTTACTTGCCGCATCAGAGTGCATTTTTATTAAATATACAACTGTCTATGGGAAGTCCGTAGACCGGCCAATGGGCGGGCCTTGTTAACGTGAAGGATGTTTGCCAACGATGATTGAAAGTAGGTTTCAAATAGGCTCCGCCTCTTCTTGCAGTTGATTGGTTGCGACAGGTGTCAATTCGTCAGTGAGCGGGGACAAACGAAAAAAACCTCCCTTTCTCAAATTTGATTGGTCAAAGTTCCTAGAGCAGGGCGTCAATCATTAGAATTTCCTCGTGCAATCCTTAAACCCATAGATATAAACACTAGATACAGCATTGACCGCTATCGCCTATTGGCGCTGACGAGCTGTAAGGCCGCCATCTTGGAACGGTCGACAGCTCCACTCAGTGAAACCTGTTTGACAGGAGCAAGGAAGTATCTGCACGTTTAATCAGTCATAGCTGAATACTAAACTCATTCTCACGATTTTTTCCTCTGTAAATCTTTGGCGTACAGACATTAAAGCTGAACACATGGTTCAGTGTATTTACTCTTGGTGGGGTTAACATTAACACTAATAAAAGAATCTTATGACAATCTAAAAAAGTTAAATCTGGTCCTCTGGACATTAAAAAAAACAAAAAAAACAACAAAGCAAATCAACAAAAAATGTAGAAACGTTTCGTCTCTCATCCGAGAGACTTCCTCAGTCTGAGGTGCTGTATTCAGCTCAGTCTCTTAAATAGCACCTTCTCAGAGTGGATCAAGCAGTTTTTTTTAGATTTTTCTACCTGGATTATTGAGCATGCATCAGGAAATCTTACTTACTGATTAACATTTACAGCATGTATCATAGAGCTGTCATTTCAAACCAGAGCCCTAAGCCCGGCTCCACCCGACCCGAATTCGGGCCGGGCCGGGCCATGATAATGTGCTGGATGGGCGGGCCAGGTCGGTGTC